ACCCCTATGACCTTCTATGCTACAGACTTCAAGGTAAGGTTAATGAAGTCAGGCTAATGAATGAACAACCCCTATGACCTTCTATGCTATAGACTTCAAGGTAAGGTTAATGGAGTCAGGCTAATCGACAAGCTCGGTGCAGAAAAGTGGCCCTACGTGTGCCACTCGAACAGCTTACAGTGGTCAAGACAGTGAGCCTCAGTGATTTTCAGTCGTGGTTGCGTTGTCCAGTCATCCACAGCATGGTGAACGCAAAATCCACCGAGTGGGCTTGTTTTTTACCCTGATCCCAACGCGAGACATAGCCTTGAAGAATCCGGTTCAAGTACCCACAACACAAACCCCGTGAGAACGCTGGACGTAACCCATAATAAAGATTCGGCTGAAATACAGAACCTGGTCTGTCAAGCGTTTTTTAAACTTGAAAAGTGTGGAAGAACATAGCATAACTGCTTGTCGTGAAATACCGGAAATACTTGGATGACGAACCAAGGTCCCACGGTAACACAGAGTTAAAAATCGTGTTCCAAAGAACACAAGAATAGATGAAATTGATAAATGTATTGAGAGCGATCAAAAGAGATAACGTTGTTGATAGCGTGCTTGCGTGACAGACCCTCAAATGAGAGATGCGCTTGGTAGAATGAATGAATTAGAAAGTCTTCCCTTTGTCACATGCACATAGTTCTACATGGACGCCTTCCGACATGTGCTATAGGATCAAGGTTGTGGCTACTTAAACTATATAAATTTCGTTCGGTAATCATTATATATCCCGACCACATTGAATGAAGAAGTTTCCTAGTCCACAAGGAACCAATAAAAATACTTGGAAACTTCGTGCGAGCATCTGAGACGTAGAGAATTGAATGAGGTAGTGGGATAAAATGTGGGTATTATATATAACCTGCTTTACGTTCCCCCATTATTCCAGGCTTCCTCGCACCCATCTACCACACATTTCAGTGATGGATAAATTGGATGAGAAACTCGACAATTTAATGACCACTTTGTTTCAAAGACATAGGGCACTGGAAGATTCATTTTCGGTAGAATATTGGCAATTTTGCTGTGACAAACTTTCCTAGGATAAATGAAATGCATAACAACTGAGCTGTACTCTTTTTCACTTGGAATTTAATTCTACGAGTGACTTACTGGGATTTTTGGGATATTTTTTGTGACATCAAGCGTATTTTTTGTTAGTTTGTAACCAACCGGCTTAGTCTTCCGCTTCGGTTAGTGTCTAATTAAGTGTAAAGCAACAACCACCCCGGATTCAAAGAAGTGCAGTCTAGTGCGGTCTCAAGGTCAAACATCCAGATCACAGTGACCAAGTTCGCGTCCTGAGTCTGAGTGTCCGTGGCTGGCGCGCTGATCAGCTGATATGCTGACGTGCCGATCAGCTGATGTGCTGCCGAATCGTAGCGTTCATTGGCCGATTTCCAATATCCACTGTCCAGCCATGGTGTGATAAGCTATGATTCAGTCTGTTCGCCGTTTCCCTTCACATGTCAACCTATTGAATACATAACGAGAACTGAATTCTTTTTGACTTCAAATATCACCAGCGAGAAAGGGGAATAAGGCGAAGGAAGTGTACATTTTGGCATAAGACCCTATAAGTGCTTCTGTTCATGGTTGCAGCGTGAAAAATATCATTGAATGTGAAGTCACTCATGGGCACCGCAAAGTAATCTGAAACAATATCGAGTGAGCCAGAATCAGAGGGATGAGATGGCTCAGTTTTTCAAACTCACATTTACTGCCTGGAAGGCCCGTGGTTCTAACCCGACCTCTGTCTCTCGACTTCCCCTGTCTAGGCTTGGGTAACCTGACAGTATCCCACTCCTTGTGCTTCATTCTGGTGGCATGGCAGCCGAGCACTGAATGGAGGCTACAGCTGAACAATCTGAGCCAGAATCAGAATAGCCCCATCTCGCTGACAGGTAGCAATCTTCATTACCCAGTCTTTACTACACAATACAGATTGGTTGCATCAGGGTCTGGGTGCATCCAACCAGCGACTTTGTCCTTGACTGAGCAATAGTCACGTGCACTAACAAATACCGTTTTCACGTTGTCACCGACTGAGAGTACCGTTGACTAGGTAGAGTTAGCTTATAAACGACTAGCGTAGGTCGCGATAGACAATCAAATCTGACGCATTTCTGGCTGTTCCTCCCCGTATTTCAGTGGCTTAGTTGAAATGGATGAAAGAATCGGGTTTGCTTGAAGCTTCCATGCATTTGGCTCACCTTTGAAGTTCACAAAAAATCCATCACCCTGAAGGCACTCATCAGTAACAGTGAGAATATGAAGATAACTTTAACGCAAATGTTTCTGTCCGTAGTTTACTAGCTGTGAAAGTCAAACCACAGTCAATAGTATACACGTAAACCCCTCCAAGGCGGACTTCTTATTTGATTGCCCATGAGCACTAGCCGTACGCACTAGTCTTGGATGTAATCACTCATTCTCATAACAGGAGTGTTGTACTCTGCTCCTTGATGGCATTCCACGAAGAGCTGTGAGTTGGTTGCACCAAGTCCAAACGACAGTCTCAACAGACTTGGTATTGATTTTTTTATTTACGTCTCTGTTCAACTTGTCAGTTAACTTGTAACCAGCAGCTGAGCTCCGAAAACGGACAACAAGATCTTCCCTCCATCCACAAGACTTGACTGGTCGGTCGGTCACACGTTTTTCGGAAAACAAGCTCAGACAGGTATGATTTGTTTTGTGGCACAAGATGGGCAGTCCGGTTCATTCGTTCGAACCTTACTTCTTAGGTGCACGGTGAAAGATTATGCATCTCGTTTCCTACCTTATTCAATCGTAGCAAGTGCCCACCGCAATGATACCAAGCCAAAACCGAAAGAATAGTTACGTCGGGGAAATGGCCTGGAAATCAATGGTTAAATGGGGCTATTGATATTTCGTATCAACTTTACTAACAGCGTTTGATTGTCAACTTTGTGGAACTTTTGTGTTATCGTGGCTGGCGATTCCCGTGCCATCCAAAAAAACGGATGCGTGACCATCCGCCTTCACTTGGCAGATGTCATTTATTTTTACAAGCTGGATTTTTGTCAGTTTCTTTTTAGTGTATCTTCCTCAAAGTATACGGAAAATGGATGTACTTCGCTGAAAGCATACAGTGTTGTGTTCAAGTGGAACATCGGGTTGATAGGAAGTCGGGGCGAAACCAGTGTTATGATCCGTCAAAAGCTTTCAGCAACCTTTAGGATGTTCATGTTCTACTTGAAACTAAATTGCAAACTTAGCGAATTACACTGATTTGCAAACTAATTTGGTTTTGCGAGAGACTCACCTGGAACCCAGCTGAAACCTAGCTGCCTGCGAACAGGCGAGAGATTTAGCTTGGTTCCAGGTGAGTCTCTCGCAAAACCAAATTAGTTTGCAAATCAGTGTAATTCGCTAAGTTTGCAATTTAGTTTCAAGTAGAACATAAGGTTGAAGGAAACTAGGGGACTGCTCCTACTTGATGAGCTCCAAGAAGGCCGAAACCGGTCGTGGGCTGTCGACGAATTTTCAGCAACCTTATGAGTAGTACATTACGAACGAACGAAAATCATTATTGCGTCAATGTGGTGGTGATCCCCATGGTTCCCTTTTCTTTGTGATTTGAGGTTAGAGCCCNTACCACGCCGAAATCAAAAGAATGGTTACGACAGGGAAATATTAAATGGCCTGGAAATCAATGGTTAAATGGGGCTATTGATATTTCGTATCAGTTTCACTTACAGCGTTTGATTGTCAACTTTGTGGAACTTTTGTGTTACCGTGACTGGCGGTTTCCGTGACATCCAAAAACCTGACGCGTAACCATCCGCCTTCACTTGGCAGATGTTATTTTCTTACCAGATGGATAGTATCCTTGTCAGTTTCGTTCCTCAAAGTATACGGAAAATAGATGTACTTCGCTGAAAGCATACAGTGTTGGGTTCAAGTGGAACATCGGGTTGATAGGAAGTCGGGGTGAAACCAGCGTTATGGTCTGTCAAAAGCTTTCAGCAACCTTATGAGTAGGATGTTCGCTCAAGGAAAAATACGAACGAATATAAGCGAAATACATTCGTTTGCAAACTAATTTGGTTTTGCGACTCACCTGGAACCCAGCTGAAACCCAGCTGCCTCGAAACATCACAAGCCCATGGTTCCCTTTTCTTTGTGATTTGAGGTTAGAGCCCACCAGCGACTACTGAAAGTGCTGTTCCAGATCAGACGCTCAAAATTTTCTGATCAAATTTGTGCGCTCGGTAAATGGTTAATCGCGTGTAGGTTTCTAGATTTGAACCAAGCTCGTGTCTCTGAATTGGGTATACAGTCAGATGCAATCATAGCAAGGATAACAGCCCAATAGCCCTTAAACATACGCACCCGTTTCAAGACCAAATTCCTTCGCCTTTGCTTCGTTAAATGAGGCGCCATACTTGGTTAAATTCGTCCCTGTTATCCTGCACTGACCCTGAATTTCACAAGGGTCCATAAACACAACGCGCTCTCACTGAAAAAAGACAATGCAGAGCGGACCGATATCGAATTTTGCGACGCACAGTGATCGATCGATACCGGCAACGCATTCTAAGCGTACGGCTCATCGGACTTTGCTCGTAAAAGTTCCGTGAGTTGCCATGGTAATGAGAAGTGGCTGTGACCTCAGCACGTCCGTGTTCACGCACAACCGATTTCATTGTGCACAAATACCGAACAAGAAATGGCGTAAAAATCAATGCGGACTCAGGTAAATAAACCTGTTTAGGATTTGTCAGCATGGGCCAACATTCGATGAATTGGCGGACTGTCGTTACATAATTATCGAGAGGTTAATGGACTGGCAGACTGGTGCCATACCCAAACCCAGTTATTCATTCTGTTCAAACACGCACGGTTTTAATATCTCAACTATTCCAGTTGGGACAAGAAACTTATTTATCGCCGTTTGTTACCCCACCATGTGTGAACTTTCCTCACAGATGGACGCATTCCTCGAGGCTTTTTTCGCACTGGATGCTGACAATCGTGAGGTGATCTCCCTAAAAGACCTACGAACCTATTCTCAAGAAAACAACATTGAAGAGGGGTTTCCCGAGGTGAGTTAGTGGCGTCAATTTATTTGGTTTACTGTCAGATATCTCTGCCTAGTACTGGCACATATGTGTGACATAAATTTCCGATATTTTCTGGTCCCTGTAACATCAATGGTCGTATCTGGGTTCTAAACTGTCATCAACAACCACATCGTCATTTTGACTCTAGTCACCTTTTAGAAAAATTGAGAACGTGGCTTTTAAGGACGCTAACTACCAATTGAGCGTCTCCAAAGAAAGGATACTTCCGAAAAAAACTAAGTTATCCGGTGTTCAAAGCGTTCAAATTACAGGTGAAAGAAATCAGTTTTGAGAAGTGACTTTTTACAAAAGTAAAATGACCTAATGATGCCATTTGAAAGCATTCTCTGTGCATAGGAAAAGTTCGTTCCAGCAAAGCTTACTTCATTGGAACGCATCAGAATGACCGTCGAACGAGCATGTCGAAACATGTCTCATCAATATCTCAGTGGTCACCAAAGTAACTCAAAGCGCCGATTTGCATATGATGCTATTTGCAATGTTTCCGAGGTTCCATTGAGGTTGCTCAAACTCAAAGTTGTCAACTTTTTGGACTCTGAACCAGTTTTTGTTTTGGTCGCGTATGGTAGGAGTTTTAGCAGGATCGAAAGAGCACAGAATCAGACTTTAACGGAAGTTTGTTTTAAAGGGTTGTTCAATCTGAGGAGCAGCTCGAAAAAATTTTTATTCCGGTCTTTCTCAATGCCCCCCGGCTTCTCGCATGTAACTCAGAGCGTTGTTCAGATAGCGGAGAACTACCGTAATTCGGACCAATTTGAAGACCAGAATTGACGTCCAACCAAACGAAAAATCGTAGTGTTTACTAGTTCGCCTTTCAAACGTCCTGATCTAGATAGCTAATTGCAGCAAGCACTTTTCCGAAGACGCTCTGTGATGCCCTTTTTGTGGAGCCATTCCCTGTACTAATGTCTTCAAATGTAGCGGAAAACACGGTAATCCCAAAAGGGAATACTTGAAACAGGCGGATCATTTCATCCTGGTCACGAAGTGATCCGTTTCTTTATCAAAGGTATTTCCCTGGTTCCAACCTATTCAGAGAGTAACAAGGTGCCCTTGCCTTGCTAGTGGACACACAGCTATGAACTAGTTGCCTTGTGCANTTCCGATATTTTCTGGTCCCTGTAACATCAATGGTCGTTTCAGGGTGCTAAACTGTCATCAACAACCACCTCGCCATTTTGGCTCTAATCGCCTTCTAGAAAAATTAAGGACGTGGCTTTTAAGGATGCCAACTACCAATTGAGTGTCTCCGAAAAAAACTGAGTTGTCCGGTGTTCAAATTACAGGTGAAAGGAGTGAGTTTTGAAAAGTGACTTTTTACGAAAGTAAAATGACCTAATGATGCCATTTGAAAGCATTCTCTATGCATAGGAAAAGTGTGTTCCAGCAAAGCTAACTTCATGGGGCACGCATCAGAATGACCGCCGAACGAATACGTCGAAACGTCTCATCAATAGCTCAGTGGCTGCCAAAGTAACCGAGAGCGCCGATTCACATATGAAGGTATCCCCTATGTTTCCGAGGTACCAGTGAGGTTGCTCACTCTGAACCAGTTTTGGTTTTGGTCGCGTATAGTTGAAATTCCAGTAGGATCGAATGAGCTCTGAATCGGACTTAAACGGAAGTTTTTTTAAAGGGTTGTTCAATCTGAGGAGCTCGGAAAGTTTTTCCGGCCTTTCTCAGTGCCTCCAGGCTTCTCCGAACGTTGTTCAGAAAGCGCAAAACTACCGACTCAACGGAATATCATAAACGAGAGATTCAGTTGAGTNACATTGAAGAGGGGTTTCCCGAGGTGAGTTAGTGGCGTCAATTTATTTGGTTTACTGTCAGATATCTCTGCCTAGTACTGGCACATATGTGTGACATAAATTTCCGATATTTTCTGGTCCCTGTAACATCGATGGTCGTATCTGGGTTCTAAACTGTCATCAACAACCACATCGTCATTTTGACTCTAGTCACCTTTTAGAAAAATTGAGAACGTGGCTTTTAAGGACGCTAACTACCAATTGAGCGTCTCCAAAGAAAGGATACTTCCGAAAAAAACTAAGTTATCCGGTGTTCAAAGCGTTCAAATTACAGGTGAAAGAAATCAGTTTTGAGAAGTGACTTTTTACAAAAGTAAAATGACCTAATGATGCCATTTGAAAGCATTCTCTGTGCATAGGAAAAGTTCGTTCCAGCAAAGCTTACTTCATTGGAACGCATCAGAATGACCGTCGAACGAGCATGTCGAAACATGTCTCATCAATATCTCAGTGGTCACCAAAGTAACTCAAAGCGCCGATTTGCATATGATGCTATTTGCAATGTTTCCGAGGTTCCATTGAGGTTGCTCAAACTCAAAGTTGTCAACTTTTTGGACTCTGAACCAGTTTTTGTTTTGGTCGCGTATGGTAGGAGTTTTAGCAGGATCGAAAGAGCACAGAATCAGACTTTAACGGAAGTTTGTTTTAAAGGGTTGTTCAATCTGAGGAGCAGCTCGAAAAAATTTTTATTCCGGTCTTTCTCAATGCCCCCCGGCTTCTCGCATGTAACTCAGAGCGTTGTTCAGATAGCGGAGAACTACCGTAATTCGGACCAATTTGAAGACCAGAATTGACGTCCAACCAAACGAAAAATCGTAGTGTTTACTAGTTCGCCTTTCAAACGTCCTGATCTAGATAGCTAATTGCAGCAAGCACTTTTCCGAAGACGCTCTGTGATGCCCTTTTTGTGGAGCAATTCCCTGTCCTAATGTCTTCAAATGTAGCGGAAAACACGGTAATCCCAAAAGGGAATACTTGAAACAGGCGGATCATTTCATCCTGGTCACGAAGTGATCCGTTTCTTTATCAAAGGTATTTCCCTGGTTCCAACCTATTCAGAGAGTAACAAGGTGCCCTTGCCTTGCTAGTGGACACACAGCTATGAACTAGTTGCCTTGTGCAAGAATCTTCAAATGAGTATCCGAAATCTAAGACAGAAATTTGAAGACGTTTGTCCTGAACAACGATCAATGCAGTTCTCTCCATCCGTCCGGATGCACGAACAAACCGCAACCAATGTCCTTCGGAAAGCAAACGAACTGAATATGTAGAAAGCAAGAATGTGCTGTGCTGCCAACGTTAGTATACCATTCAAGTACAAAGTGAACGAATCTCAAAGTTCAGCAATTGTTGTCGGTCATAGACCCTATAAAATGGCCATCTAAGTTTTGAAGTGTGTGATGCATTCTGTGTGGCAGAAGTGCAGCCCTTAACTTCGTAGTTTGTGAAAAAAAACTGGTTCAAGTTTGCAGTTACACTGAAACGTACTTGTGGAAGCACGCACGTAGATAAAACAGTGAGACATCTGCGGCTCCACCTTCGTGAGGACGCACGTGACAGAATGTCAACCGTCTTAGCGAAATACACTTATTTGCAAACTAATTTGGTTTTTCGAGAGACTCACCTGGAACCCAGCCGAATCTGTCGTTTGTGATATTTTCAGACAACTTCATCAGGCCGTCTCGTGTCTCGATATATCGCGATACACGTATATTCGTAATGCACTACTCATAAGGTTGCTGAAAATTCGTCGACAGCCCACAACCGGTTTCGTCCTTCTTGGGACTCATCACGTAGGCGCAGTCCCCGACTTTCCGTCAACCCTATGTTCTATTTGCAACCAAATTGCACGAAGTTAGCGAACTATACTCATTTGCAAACAAATTTGGTTTTTCGAGAGACTCACCTGGAACCCAGCCTAATCTCTCTCACTCAGCAACCTTATGACTGGTGCATTAAGAATATACGTGTATCGCGATATCTCGAATATCGTAGCTACGGAAGCACGAGGCAGCCTAGTGTAGCACATTCAGTTGCCTGGGAACATCACAAACGAGAGATTCAGCTGAGTTCCAGGTGAGTCTCTCGCAAAAGTCAACCGTCTTAGTTTACACCTTCGGTCACCGGAAGGGTGTTAAAGTCAGTTTTCCTAGTCTCTTCTCAACTCCGAAATCCGCTAGTTTCCCGTCCTCTTATGCCGTTTTATTATACCATGGGATTCGTCTCGGAAACTCAATGACATCGTTGTCATCATATCTTTCCAATCCGTCTACATGCTACTCGAGTTCTAGTGCAGCACAAACTTCCTTTGTCTATTCTATATTTTCAATCGATATTTCATCCTGTTAGTGAATCCAGTCTATGTTGATTGGCCAAAAAGCTCTTCCCTATTGGGAATCATCAGCAGTAGACATTTCGCGGAATGTCAGCAGAGAGTCTTGAATCCACGATCTCCGGAACAGTAGTTTGAATACTTAGTTACCCGGTGACAAGAAGCAAATCAGTAGTGTGACTAAATCGCAGCATAGAGCGTCGCTTATTCATCATTGTTCTGTACGTGACCAAATCATATGGTCTGTGTGACTGGAAGGAAAAGTTGCGTAATATCCTATCTAATTAAGAATTAGTCACAATGCTGAGCCCTCATCTAGTAACCGGGTGGGGAGTTACCGGTTCGAAGTGGACACTACTAAATAAAGGCATAGAAGGGCTCCAGTTACAACAAGAAATGGCGTTCAAAATCCCAAATCTCCCCATACATATCAAAATCTCCTCAACAGGACGATCGCTCACCCCCTGAACTCGACTTTTAGTCACGTGTCCGCTAAAATAATAATCCTCCTTACTCACGGATAACCCATAACGATTTGATTTTGTTTCGGGAAATATCCATGTACTTTTCAAAAGCCGATTGGCTTTGTTTTTATTCCTGGACACTGGGGTGACGGTGTCCAGCGGCCAAACAAATCGAAGCTGTACCGAACAGAAATGAAAAGCAACGTCACGTGAGCTACATGGACTTCCAGGGGTGTGCTATCACGTCACTCTGCCCACCCTGCATCACTTTTCCTCGTTCTAATTGACCACAATTGGTCTCTCTGTGCGCCATGAGTCGATTCCTGACAGAGATGAATGCCCAGAACGGGTTGGAGCCCGAAAATGTTTGCATATATGCCAGTGAAGCAACGACAATGACTGCTCCAGTTAACCAAGACCAAATTGATCGTGATGGCGTTATATTATTTTCTGAGGTGTGTATTCTGGAATGCTGAGAGGTTGTTGCGTATTCCTCTGCATTCTCAAGTGTACAAAGAACCAAAGAGTTGAGTATGACTGATACATTCAATTCAAACTGGCTGCTAGGCACGAGTAAGGGAGATGGATGGGTTTAACCCAGTGACGAAAAGCTCGAGACAATCGTGACTACGGATCAAAATGCAGAAACAAGAAAAATGTACTCGTGCGGTTGGACATACCTGAGAAATTCATCACCCACAAGGGCCGATGTCTTCAGGTTGGACGGCTTTACGGAATTTTACTACAACTTAGGAACCTGCCAGATTTGTATCGTCCTCAAACCAACAGAACAAAAAAAGAGATTTAAGCGTGAATTAAAAACACCGGTTAACGGTCTGACTGACATGAGCGGCTGCCAGATGTGCGCTTGAGAAAACTCGTGACAGAGAACTTCTCTACCCAGGTATCACCATTTGCTCTGTTCCTTGAGGATTGAAGTGAGAACTGTGCTCGATATGCATTCAGAAGAAGTATCCTCTAAGCAAATTCCGAGCCGCAAGGGGGATCCTGTGGAAGGCCATCTTGAATCGGTATAGGAAAACGCATCAACAACCCAAGAGATAATATGATGCATGCAAAAACCAATAGGTATATGAAAAGACGGTGATTCGATCCGGATTATACGTAACAGCAGGCAAACCGTTGCGGTCCAGGAGCAAGTAACCGCTTCGTTTATTACACTCACTGCACGAGGGATCGATGAACTGGGGCGAGATGGCCCAAGCGCGAGTTTACTGACCGGAAGGTCCGTGGTTCAAACCCGACCTCTGCCTCTCGACTTCCCCTGTCTAGGCTTGGATAACCTGGCAATATCCCAGCCCTCGTGTTTCCTCCGGGTGGCATGGCAGCTAGGTACCGGAAGGGTGTTACAGATGAACGAATTGGGACCGAGAAGACCCCGGGCCCTCGTGAAGGAAACATGGCACATTTGTATCCATCATGGCAGGGATGAGTGTCGTAATGCTACATCCATGCGAACAGACCACCGCAAAGAAGCAAACGGGTAGCATTAGTTGCAGGCTTTTCCGAACAAGAATTCGGGAATCGAGTAATTCCTACGAGGGCCCCTTCAGCAGCTTAGCAGTTAGAGCATGTCGAGATCAATAAATACACGCACACTGCAATCTAATGCACCAGTAAGTGGTAAGACGCCCTACTGGGATATGGCATACTCAAAAAGACAACGAAAACTATTGTCGTCGGGGAGACAACTCCGTTCATGTTGAAACTGATTTCTTTTCGAATGCCTGTCTGGCTGGTCCGATGAACTAATCGCTTTGACAGCCTCGTTACGCGTTGTTACTCAATTAGCATTAGACTTTCCCTCCAAAGGCTTTCTCATTGGCCCTACGGCGTGAACATATTTCAGCGTGTGAAAATTGATCAACCTAGGAGATTCGCATTTCAATTATGGATTCTAATGTGTCACGTGGCAGCAGAAATCGCGTGGCTATTAAAGTGAGACCAGACTGAAATAAACCTATTATGTGCATGTATTTTTAACGTTAAAGCAATTTTGTTTTCCCAGGGAGGTCAATAAATCCAGTGTTGTCAAAAATGGTGTATAAATCTAACCTGGGAAATAAGTTAGCTTGTGACGGGAGATGACACTCGACTGACTGCCAACCGCGTTCAAGCGTGCTCTGTCATCCGACTGGTGTGTCGTTTGGCGGGGTTTCGTCGCTTGGCAACAATAGTTTCCAGTTTGAACATAACTAATAATTTGAAGGTGTGTCGATTTCACTGGGGAGAGACTTTTGCAAGTGAAACACAACTATAGCGAAACTACGAGCAAAGTTACCGTTTGCTTTCCTTCGGAGCAGCATCTAAAACTCGGTAGAAGTTACCTTTTATGGCAGGAGAACAAATCGGCTGAAAGCCCGAAGACGGTTAGCTGGCCTTCGTTTGCAGAATAATCGGACATGGATATGCTCCTTGTTGCCAAAGGAGGGGTCACCCACTTTGAAGAGACGCAATGCTTCTTCCGGTGATGTCCTCTATTTGGAGAGATAGCATCTCCTATATCCCACCGAATCTGATTCAGTGATTCCAAACCTCAGGAGTCTCATCACTTTGAATATCCAAACGTCGGTCAGAACGTCCGTCACAATGACCAACGTTTCCACCCCGCAAATCAAACTTGTTATTTTTCTGGCATTTTAGACATTTCTCCGCGTATTTGACACTGACAATACCGGACAGATTACACTTGATCAATTCTGCAAGACCCTCGGACTGATTCCAAAACAGGCGTGAGTTTCTCTTTTGTTCTAAACGTTAATACAACCAGCAAGATTTGAGCATACGGCTGTAGGTCTTCAATCCAAGTTGTGGCAAGTTAATGCGCATCTCAGAGAGTTCCCGCACAATTTTAACACAGAAACTTTCAATATGAGGACGAGTAAAGTACCGCCTACAGTAATCTCTTCACCAAGTTGAACTGAGGTTTAATAGTTTTATCTCTTAGGTAAAATCAGTGCGCGCCGGAAAACCGAGAAGCAGTTTACAGCTGTTCCATCCTTATTGGGACCCGTCCGCAGTGCGCATGTCGCGAAAATCCAGTGGAGAGTCTCGAACCAGCGACCTTCCGGCTAGTAGTTTGAACATTTAAACTTTCGGCTATGATTGTGATTGACTTGTACTGGATCCTCGAACGGCTCCACGTGTGACTATGTGATGTGGATTCTGTGATTGAAAGATGATTGGCGATATATCCTGTTTGAGTCTAAACTGCTGTAACCAAACGGTTAAGTGTCTAACCCTCAAGTCATGAAGTCACGGGTTGGAAACTTCATGAGTCTCGACAGATACGCCCTTCTGCTGGCTCCCAAATGAAGATAAAGCAGCTGTACAATGCTTCTAGCACGGATTAGTTTCACTTACGGGAAGAAATATCCTTTATGGTTACATATGGTGCCAGACAGTACAAGTAGTTGGATCTGGACATAAGTGGCACCACGAGTGAGGGTTTTCGCGAAGGCTGTATAAGGTTCTCGTTCACTTGAAGAAAAAGTTAAACACACGGACGCGTTTGTGTTGTGGAGGGTGGGTTAAAAACTAACTGGCGCTCGAACTTTACGTTGCATTTGTCTTAATTAGCTTACTTCTAGATATCTAGCTCCTTTGCCAGTGTGGTGATCATATGACTTTGCACAGGTTGTTTAGAAACATTAGTTTATTGTTCAAATCATTGAAGAAGTGCAATCTTTCTCGACAAACGCCCAATAACCACGTGTTTGATTTAGTAGGTCGGAAGCGAATTCTGATTTCCAGGAGAAGTCTACTGAAGTTTCTATCTGAGGATGTTTTCAACCACACAGTGGTGTGATGGTGTGTGTGTGTGTGTGAATGGCACCTGCAGTTTTTTTCACTCAGAAGACTTGTTTGAAATGTGAACGTATAGCTACACAAAAGTCTATGCAACAATATCACGCCCTTGCAGGATTTACACCCCGGAGGCGAGTTCATCAGGTATTCACATTCGCAGTGACAGTACAATAGAGTGGAATGCAATGGTAGCTCATCAAACAATTGCTGACCTGTTTTCCGAGGTTCCTAATCGATTTGCAACCATTCGGTCACCATTCGAGGAGACATCATCACTCCGTGCCCCGGGTGATACCACACCCAGTGGTGAAAATTATAAAGCTTAGCAAACAGATCAACGACCATTTGGTCAACGATCAACGAATGCATCCAACACATTGCCAGCAATCCAATGCACTGTAACGCCATGCAATTTAACTTAACGACAAAGCCCAATACAAATGAATAAACAGTGCCTAACCAACATCCCAAACAACAGTTTGTGGTTGCAGACAGCGATTACTGTCTAAAATATACCCAATCTATCCACATTACACATTCCCTGGTCATAAATAGTCGCGGTATTCTAATTTAATCTATGAAAATGGATTTCGAATTGACCAGGTGAGTGGTAGGACTTTCTGGAATAATCTCACCTACTGACAAACTTCAAATAGTATATATCAAATGTGGCAGAATGCTACTGGCCATGGCGCCGTGTAAACTATGGGAACACATGTGGCCTTGAAGAAATGACCGATGGAATTGATGCAATTTCTTTGAGGTATACTGCGATAGAAGGTTACTCCTCGATGCTGGATATTAATGAGGATGCATTGAGACTGTCACCACGAAATGCAAGAGATCTGAGATCCGCGGACTGAAGTGTAGGTTTTGCGCGGCACTGGCACATGATTCGGATACCTGGATGTGAGGGTCAGAAAAAGGTTGGGCTATTCAGCTACATCATTTTATGTCGCGAAATCCATTCCATGAGTGAAACCGATTTTCCTTCAAACCTTTGAAGTTTGCCCAAGCTAA